TTTCATTTTTTCATGTTGATGAGGATTGATGTTACTTTTCGACTGAACACACCACATTAGTTGATGTACCCTACCATTTATCCCAAGTAGAGGGGCCACCAATCCTGATAATTTTAAAAAAGTTAATTTCATCACTAAATTTCATTTTTTTAATGTTTATGAGGATTGATGTTACTTTTCGACCGAACACATCACATTAGTGAATGTATCCTACCATGTATCCCAAGGAGAGCAGCATCAATCCTCATGATTTTAAAGTTATTTGCGTCCCTGAATTTCATTTTTTTCACGTTTATGAGGATAGATGTTACTTTTCAAATGAACACATCACATTAGTCCATGTATCCTAAGATGTATCCCAAAGAGAGTGGCATCAATCCTCATAATCTAAATAAAAATCATCTTGTCCCTAAATTTCATTTTTTCACGTTTATGAGGATAGATGTTACTTTTCATATGAAAACATCACATTAGTCCATGTATCCTAAGATGTATCCCAAAGAGAGTGGCATCAATCCTCATAATCTAAATAAAAATCATCTCGTCCCTAAATTTCATTTTTTCACGTTTATGAGGATAGATGTTACTCTTCATATGAAAACATCACATTAGTCCATGTATCCTAAGATGTATCCCAAAGAGAGTGGCATCAATCCTCATAATTTTAAAAACATGTCATTTTTGTTCCTAAATTTCATTTTTATCACGTTTATGAGAATTGATGGTACTTTTCGACTGTACACATCACAAAAGTGCATATACCCTACCATGTATCTCAAGGACAGCGTCATCACTCCTCATAATTTAAAAAAAAATCATTTGGTCCCTAAATTTCATTTTTTTAATGTTTATGAGGCTTGATGTTACTTTTCGACTTAACACATCACATTAGTGCATATACCCTAACATGTATCCCAAGTAGAGCGCCATCAATCCTCATAATTTAAAAAAAGTCATTCTCGTCCCTAAATTTCATTTTTTTCACTTTTATGAGGATAGATGCTACTTTTGAAATGAAAACATCACATTAGTCCATGTATCCTAAGAATTATCCCAAAGAGAGTGGCATCAATCCCTATAATCTAAATAAAAATCATCTCGTCCCTAACCCTAAATTTCATTTTTTTCACGTTTATGAGGATTGATGTTACTTTTCGACTAACACATCACCTTAGGGCATGTACCCTACCATGTATCCCATGGAGATTGGCATCCTTCCTCAAAATTTTGAAAAAGTCATTTTCGTCCCTAAATTTCATTTTTTTTATGTATATGAGGATTGACGTTAATTTCAACTGAACAAATCACATAAGTGCATGTACCCTACCATGTCTCTCAAGGAGAGCAGCATCAATCCTCATAATTTTAAAAACATGTCATTTTTGTTCCTAAATTTCATTTTTATCACGTTTATGAGAATTGATGGTACTTTTCGACTGTACACATCACAAAAGTGCATGTACCCTACCATGTATCCCAAGGACAGCGCCATCAATCCTTATAATTTAAAAAAAAATCATTTGGTCCCTAAATTTCATTTTTTCATGTTGATGAGGATTGATGTTACTTTTCGACTGAACACACCACATTAGTTGATGTACCCTACCATGTATCCCAAGGAGAGCGGCATCAATCCTCATAATTTTAAAAAAGTTAATTTCATCGCTAAATTTCATTTTTTAATGTTTATGAGGATTGATGTTACTTTCCGACTGAACACATCACATAAGTTTGTGTACCCTACCATGTTTCCCAAGGAGAGCTGCATTAATCCTCATAATTTTAAAAAAGTTAATTTCATCGCTAAATTTCATTTTTTTAATGTATATGAGGATTGATGTTACTTTTCGACTGAACACACCACATTAGTTGATGTACCCTACCATTTATCCCAAGTAGAGGGGCCACCAATCCTGATAATTTTAAAAAAGTTAATTTCATCACTAAATTTCATTTTTTTAATGTTTTTGAGGATTGATGTTACTTTTCGACCGAACACATCACATTAGTGAATGTATCCTACCATGTATCCCAAGGAGAGCAGCATCAATCCTCATGATTTTAAAGTTATTTGCGTCCCTAAATTTCATTTTTTTAATGTTTATGAGGATTGATGTTACTTTTCGACTTAACACATCACATTAGTGCATGTACCCTACCATGTATCCCAAGTAGATTGGCATCAATCCTCATTGTTTTAAAAAAAAGTCATTCTCGTCCCTGAATTTCATTTTTTTTCACGTTTATGAGGATAGATGTTACTTTTCAAATGAACACATCACATTAGTCCATGTATCCTAAGATGTATCCCAAAGAGAGTGGCATCAATCCTCATAATCTAAATAAAAATCATCTCGTCCCTAAATTTCATTTTTTCACGTTTTTGAGGATAGATGTTACTTTTCATATGAAAACATCACATTAGTCCATGTATCCTAAGATGTATCCCAAAGAGAGTGGCATCAATCCTCATAATCTAAATAAAAATCATCTCGTCCCTAAATTTCATTTTTTCACGTTTATGAGGATAGATGTTACTTTTCATATGAAAACATCACATTAGTCCATGTATCCTAAGATGTATCCCAAAGAGAGTGGCATCAATCCTCATAATCTAAATAAAAATCATCTCGTCCCTAAATTTCATTTTTTTCACGTTTATGAGGATTGATGTTACTTTTCGACTAACACATCACATTAGGGCATGTACCCTACCATGTATCCCATGGAGATCGGCATCCTTCCTCAAAATTTTGAAAAAGTCATTTTCGTCCCTTAATTTCATTTTTTGATGTATATGAGGATTGACGTTAATTTCAACTGAACAAATCACATAAGTGCATGTACCCTACCATGTCTCTCAAGGAGAGCAGAATCAATCCTCACAATTTTAAAAACATGTCATTTTTGTTCCTAAATTTCATTTTTATCACGCTTACGAGGATTGATGTTACCTTTCCACTGAACACATCACAAAAGTGCATGTACCTTACCATGTATCCTAGGAGTGGGGCATCAATCCTCATTGTTTTAAAAAAAGTCATTTTCGTCCCTAAATTTCATTTTTTTACGTTTATGAGGATTGATGTTACTTTCCGACTGAACACATCACACAAGTGCATGTACCCTACCATGTATCCCAAGGACAGCGTCATCACTCCTCATAATTTAAAAAAAAAACATTTGGTCCCTAAATTTCATTTTTTCATGTTTATGAGGATTGATGTTACTTTTCGACTGAACACACCACATTAGTTGATGTACCCTACCATGTATCCCAAGAAGAGCCGCATCAATCCTCATAATTTTAAAAAAGTTAATTTCATTGCTAAAATTCATTTTTTTAATGTTTATGAGGATTGATGTTACTTTTCGACTGAACACACCACATTAGTTGATGTACCCTACCATGTATCCCAAGTAGATTGGCATCAATCCTCATAATTTTATAAAATATCATTTTTGTCCCTAAATTTCATTTTTTTCACGTTTATGAGGATGGATGTTACTTTTCGACTGAACACATCACATAAGTGGATGTACCCTACTATGTATCCCAAGGAGAGCAGCATCAATCCTCATGATTTTAAAGTCATTTGCGTCCCTAAATTTCATTTTTTTAGTGTTTATGAGGATTGATGTTACTTTTCGACTGAACACATCACATTAGTGCGTGTACCCTACCATGTATCCCAAGTAGATTGGCAACAATCCTCATAATTTAAAAAAAAACATTTGGTCCCTAAATTTCATTTTTTCATGTTGATGAGGATTGATGTTACTTTTCGACTGAACACACCACATTAGTTGATGTACCCTACCATGTATCCCAAAGAGAGCGGCATCAATCCTCATCATTTTAAAAAAGTTAATTTCATCGCTAAATTTCATTTTTTTAATGTTTATGAGGATTGATGTTACTTTTCCACTGAACACATCACAAAAGTGCATGTACCCTACCATGTTTCCCAAGTAGAGTGGCACCAATCCTCATTGTTTTAAAAAAAAGTCATTCTCGTCCCTAAATTTCATTTTTTTACATTTATGAGCATTGATGTTACTTTTCGACTGAACACACCACATTAGTTGATGTACCCTACCATGTATCCCAAGAAGAGCCGCATCAATCCTCATAATTTTAAAAAAGTTAATTTCATCGCTAAATTTCATTTTTTTAATGTTTATGAGGATTGATGTTACTTTTCCACTGAACACATCACAAAAGTGCATGTACCCTACCATGTTTCCCAAGTAGAGTGGCACCAATCCTCATTGTTTTAAAAAAAAGTCATTCTCGTCCCTAAATTTCATTTTTTTACATTTATGAGTATTGATGTTACTTTTCGACTGAACACACCACATTAGTTGATGTACCCTACCATGTATCCCAAGAAGAGCCGCATCAATCCTCATAATTTTAAAAAAGTTAATTTCATCGCTAAATTTCATTTTTTTAATGTTTATGAGGATTGATGTTACTTTTCGACTGAACACATCACACAAGTGCATGTACCCTACCATGTATCCCAAGGACAGTGTCATCACTCCTGATAATTTAAAAAAAACATTTGGTCCCTAAATTTCATTTTTTCTTGTTGATGAGGATTGATGTTACTTTTCGACTGAACACACCACATTAGTTGATGGACCCTACCATGTATCCCAAGAAGAGCCGCATCAATCCTCATAATTTTAAAAAAGTTAATTTCATCGCTAAATTTCATTTTTTTTAATGTTTATGAGGATTGATGTTACTTTTCGACTGAACACATCACATTAGTGCATGTACCCTACCATGTATCCCAAGTAGATTGGCATCAATCCTCATTGTTTTAAAAAAAAGTCATTCTCGTCCCTAAATTTCATTTCTTTTACGTTTATGAGGATTGATGTTACTTTTCGACTGAACACACCACATTAGTTGATGTACCCTACCATGTATCCCAAGAAGAGCCGCATCAATCCTCATAATTTTAAAAAAGTTAATTTCAGAATTAAAGTTAAAGAACACAGAAATTGACAAGATTGCTGGTATGACATCATGGGTGGACAAAATCAAAGAAAAACGAAGAAGATGGACGGGTCACATGCTGAGACTAGATGATGAAACACCTGTAAAGAAGGCTTTAAGAGAAGCTAGAAGACCTGGAAAAGCCCATAGGGGAAGAAAAAAGTACATATGGATAACACAAACAATGACCAAAGACTTTAAAGATATGCAGTTAGATGGATGGAATGAAGCTGAAAGAGCGGTGCAGGATCGAGTGTTGTGGCGAAGAACAGTCAAACGAAGCCTGAGAAACTAACTTTTTTTCACTATCTGATGTACACAATGTTGTAAATACAACGGAATGTGTGATTATATATATATAATTTCATCGCTAAATTTCATTTTTTCAATGTTTATGAGGATTGATGTTACTTTTCGACTGAACACATCACATTAGTGCATGTACCCTACCATGTATCCCAAGTAGATTGGCATCAATCCTCATTGTTTTAAAAAAAAGTCATTCTCGTCCCTGAATTTCATTTTTTTTCACGTTTATGAGGATAGATGTTACTTTTCGACTGAAAACACCACATTAGTTGATGTACCCTACCATGTATCCCAAGAAGAGCCGCATCAATCCTCGTAATTTTAAAAAAGTTAATTTCATCGCTAAATTTCATTTTTTTAATGTTTATGAGGATTGATGTTACTTTTCGACTGAACACATCACATAAGTGCATGTACCCTACCATGTATCCCAAGTAGATTGGCATCAATCCTCATTGTTTTAAAAAAAAGTCATTCTCGTCCCTGAATTTCATTTTTTTTCACGTTTATGAGGATCGATGTTACTTTCCGACTGAACACATCACATTAGTGCATGTACCCTACCATGTATCCCAAGTAGATTGGCATCAATCCTCATTGTTTTAAAAAAAAGTCATTCTCGTCCCTGAATTTCATTTTTTTTCACGTTTATGAGGATAGATGTTACTTTTCGACTGAACACATCACATAAGTGCATGTACCCTACCATGTATCCCAAGAAGAGCCGCATCAATCCTCATAATTTTAAAAAAGTTAATTTCATCGCTAAATTTCATTTTTTTAATGTTTATGAGGATTGATGTTACTTTTCGACTGAACACATCACATTAGTGCATGTACCCTACCATGTATCCCAAGAAGAGCCGAATCAATCCTCATAATTTTAAAAAAGTTATTTTCATCGCTAAATTTCATTTTTTTAATGTTTATGAGGATTGATGTTACTTTCCGACTGAACACATCACAAAAGTGCATGTACCCTACCATGTATCCCAAGTAGATTGGCATCAATCCTCATTGTTTTAAAAAAAAGTCATGCTCGTCCCTGAATTTCATTTTTTTTCACGTTTATGAGGATCGATGTTACTTTCCGACTGAACACATCACATTAGTGCATGTACCCTACCATGTATCCCAAGTAGATTGGCATCAATCCTCATTGTTTTAAAAAAAAGTCATTCTCGTCCCTGAATTTCATTTTTTTCACGTTTATGAGGATCGATGTTACTTTCCGACTGAACACATCACATTAGTGCATGTACCCTACCATGTATCCCAAGTAGATTGGCATCAATCCTCATTGTTTTAAAAAAAAGTCATTCTCGTCCCTGAATTTCATTTTCTTTCACGTTTATGAGGATAGATGTTACTTTTCGACTGAACACATCACAATAGTGCATGTACCCTACCATGTATCCCAAGTAGATTGGCATCAATCCTCATTGTTTTAAAAAAAAGTCATTCTCGTCCCTGAATTTCATTTTTTTTCACGTTTATGAGGATAGATGTTACTTTTCGACTGAACACATCACATAAGTGCATGTACCCTACCATGTATCCCAAGAAGAGCCGCATCAATCCTCATAATTTTAAAAAAGTTAATTTCATCGCTAAATTTCATTTTTTTAATGTTTATGAGGATTGATGTTACTTTTCGACTGAACACATCACATTAGTGCATGTACCCTACCATGTATCCCAAGAAGAGCCGAATCAATCCTCATAATTTTAAAAAAGTTATTTTCATCGCTAAATTTCATTTTTTTAATGTTTATGAGGATTGATGTTACTTTCCGACTGAACACATCACAAAAGTGCATGTACCCTACCATGTATCCCAAGTAGATTGGCATAAATCCTCATTGTTTTAAAAAAAAGTCATTCTCGTCCCTGAATTTCATTTTTTTTCACGTTAATGAGGATAGATGTTACTTTTCAAATGAATACATCACATTAGTCCATGTATCCTAAGATGTATCCCAAAGAGAGTGGCATCAATCCTCGTAATTTAAAAAAAAATCATTTCGTCCCTAAATTTCATTTTTTTTCACGTTTATGAGGATTGATGTTACTTTCCGACTGAAGACATCACATTAGTTGATGTACCCTACCATATATCCCAAATAGAGCGCCATCAATCCTCATAATTTTGAAAAAAATTCATTTTCGTCCCTAAATTTGATTTTTTTAATGTTTATGAGGATTGATGTTACTTTTCGAATGAACACGCCACATTAGTGCATGTACCCATAGTCAATAGAAAAAGAATGGTCTGGAAACTCTATTGTTCGAAGATCGATATCATGATTCCACTAGGTTCCAGACTCTTAGAGTGCACCAAGTTGGTCTGTTGTTGTGTATGTGTTGACTCGAGACAAGATAGAAGTGGAAGCTGCCGAACCCGAAATTACTTTTGTATCTGAACTTGAGGCTATCGTTGATTTTATGGGTGATCAAAATTTCTTTGATGATATTGAAGACTTCGAGAAAGAACTTGTTGATATTTTTATTGAGGTAAGTTAATTCTATTTTATTTTAAACTTCAAATCGCTTATGACACGTCGACGACCCTTCTAGGCCTATTACCAACCAACCAGTTTATTGCACACGATCCAGTCCAGGTGCTGTAAAAAACAAAAACATGTTGGGGGTGGTAAGTTTTGAGCAAATACCTGTGTCATGAATATAAATTGTAGTTGTTGATGGTTTAACAAACCGGACCTGGAACATTTGGAATCAAATGTAGTAAACTACCTAGCCCAAAACCAAACAGCATTGCGTTTTAGCAAGGCAGTATACTGGCCTGTATGATCTTACTGTCACCTATGATTGCCCAGTGTTTTTTGCAAAATTAATACAATGTGGCTGGGAGAGGATATCTCTCATTTTCTAAAAAATAATCGTTGTATATGCTTACAACCCAATGCACACAAACCCTAGTTGAGCATAATATAAAACAATGAGGTTATGATATTGAAATATTAAAAAAGTAGGTAAAATGCCAAAATTCAAAAGCTAAATGTGACTATAGGGTTAAAAATGCAGGTACACAATTCAACTTATATTTTAGGATGAGCCTGCTCCTGATCATTCACTTAGATGTACTGATTGTAAGAGGGTGTACAAGACAAGAAAGGGACTGGAAAGACACACTGAGATATGCAACAAAAAGAAAAATCCTGTTGATCAGCAAATTTTGGTCAGCCTACTCACTGAAGCTTTAAAAAAAGTTTCTCTGGATGAATGTTGCCCTCTAGAAATGCAAGAAGATGTTGCAAAATGTTTCATTTCTAATGACCATCCTCTTGTCAGTTCCAAATTGGTTGTAGAACTCTTTAGTTCACTGTGCAGTAGACTAGATATTGAGACATTTCAGACCCGCCAAGTACCACAGTTTTGCCCACGATCTCACAGTTGGTCAGGAAATTCTCACGGTAAATTCATAAATCAAAAAAATTAAGAAGTTTCTCCCAATTTGCCATCTTTAACGAACAAATGCTAGTGTATCTGCATATTTAGCTCACAGAACTGTTCTGCGATATTGTTTTTCTTCTCATCTGCGGTTTGTGCCCCTGTGCTCTCGTGAAGCGTTTTCATTGAATTGAATGTTAAGGTGGCAGCAGGAAACAAATCGTTAGAAAGGTCATCGATGAAACTGGGAGGGACATTGTCGAGTATCCTAGCGATGAAAACAATGTATCCCGAGTCCAACACGCCCTGTTATAGCTGGAAACCCACAGAAGAAGTCTTGGAAAGTTCCAAAAAAGCAACCAACAAATACAATGAAGAACACAAATAGATAGCCTACTTTTCATTTGGAATTCATGTTTCTTTTTAGTTCTTTTAACTTTTTATGATGTGATTGAACCCGTATTAAGACCTTTTTGTGTTTATAAAATCATTAAAAAAGTTGTTTGACTTTTCTCAAGGTTTCTCTACAAAACTCAAGGTTTTTAAAGAAATTTTTAAGAAATCTCAAGGTTTTGCACCGACCAAACTTGGCAGGTCTGCATTTTATGTTGAATATATGGCACAGGTAGTTGCTAAAGCAAATATATGGCTTCCTGACTTGAAAGAAGCTACAGCAGTTCAATTAGCCATGCAATATGGTGACAAAATGGTTCACCATGCACATACACCTGCTGTTTCAGATGACATAGTTGTATGTGCAACTAGTCTTACATCAAAAGAAAGTCACTGTATTACCTACATTGGTGGATATGTTATCAGAAATTTGCGCCAAAAACTGACTCACAAAAAAATAGAGCATACTGTGAAACAGCAATACTCCATTCTTTTAGATGCATGTCTACGGAAATTATCAAAGAAGTCAATATTTAATCAAAATGACCTCGTTAATACTTTGACAAGAGGAAGTTTGATAGAGATGACTGACATCCTAACAAGAATTTTTGAAACAGTTGAAAGTTACTTCAGAGCACATGTCTCAAAACAATTAGAAAAAGAAAAAAAAACTAACTTAGGTGAGCATGTGTTTCATTTGAAAAACAGAATGGGAATTAAAGGCAAGTTCCATGTTATAATTGAGAGATGTGAGCAAGAGGTATCTGGCGAAATCGCCAGCAATTTTCTAGAGGACATTTTGAAACTATATCTGAAGATAAGGTGTTTTTCGCATTCAAAGGACTTGCTCCAGCACATTAAAGCAAAACAGAAATTAAGCAGAGGAAAGGCTCTCCGAAAAGGTTTAAAGAACAATAAAGTGATGCAACAACTTAATAAAGGGGCAAATAAATGACCACTTATTGCTATCATCTAGATATACCTTAAAGAAAGAAATTATTTGCACAATAAATTTTTGAAGAAATTATTTTTGTGTTTTCAACCCTTTTACACAAAAACTTGTCATGCCAAATTTTCAAAAACTCTTGCACAGAGCATAACATTTTTGAGGTACTGAATTATGAAAATACTATTTGCCTAAATTTGTTGTGCAAATAGTTTTAATATTCCAAGGTAATTTAT